GCCGGCATCCGAATAAATAGCAAGCGCTCGCACAAATGATTTCCGGAGGCCAAAGCGGGCAGCCTTCGGGTATGTGTGTGCGTGTGTATGTCCCGCCCGTCCTCATCTTCTGGTTCCTCTCAACTGCCAGCAATGTGCAAAGACTCGCCGCTCAGAACTCTTTCAAAGTGCTGCAAGCGGCATTCACTTAGGAGAACAAGAGCTTTCTCATTCCTGCAAGTTTTTGTTAATAGAAAGGTTTCCCGTCCCGATTCGCTCATACTCCAGCTTAAGGTTCAGATTCCTATGCGCCAGCCTCATGTGCATGTTTGCGTTATCATGCGCAGAGCGCAGCCTGGACCGTTTGGACAGTGGCTCATATCCGACACGAATTTGCACGAATCTCATCGAGCTAGCACGCCGCCGGAGGTTCCCGGAGCGCGACATTCGCTGTGTGCTGAACACTCCACAACTGATGCATGTGAGTCGGTTGCCTGTTGCTGGTCCCCCTTTTGGAATGATACCGCCAACGATGATTCTGATTGCAAACAGTTGCAACACTGCGGATTTGCAACGTAACGGCCACGACTAGCCACGACGGCCACGGCTTTGCTAGTGCCACTACCACAAAAACCCTCCCCACGCCGACCTTCCTGTTGCTGCTGTTTTTGTTGGCACTGGTAATTCTATTAGACTTTCTGCATGGATTGCAGAACTGGCGTTGCGGCAGCCTGTGTGTTCTTGTGCGCCCTGCTTCCGGCGCGGTCGGGCACGAAAGACGAAAGCACAACGTTCATGAGCGAAAAACTCGTCTATATATCACGGATAACGGCACCGTAGACGATGACTGTTGCATCACTGCCAGTATCCACCAGCAACTCGTCCCGGTTGCATCGAATGTTTGGCAAATGGCGACGGAGCAATCCCTGCACGCGTGCGGCAAAGCTATGCTGCATGTTGGCGGTGGCCACTCAGCTCGCTTGACAAAATTATTAACTTTTTATGTTGGTCTTTGCCCTTTGCTGTACAGTATGTGAATTCGCGGTGAGAACGCGTTTGTTGCGGGCGGTGCCGAATGTTTATGGTCAGTACTACACAGGGCTGGTAGTGTTGTATTCGCCATCGGAGAGCAGGCTGTACTTGTATTCATACTAGTTCCAGTGTTTGTGCAGGTTGTATTTATTCTGGGTACTGGTACAAAACGGGAGTACTGGTGCTGTACCACAAATATTCAGAGAGTCTGAGCAGTAGCTACAATAATCGTCGTCGTCGTCGTAGCATCAATCGAAGTAGCAGTGGCGGTGGGGACGGTGGTTGCACATATAAAATCGATCTACGCCTATTACTTCGACGACGACGACGATTTTTCTGCTGCTACGGATGCAGCGCGGCCAACGGTACTGCTACGACTCCTACTGCTACTGTTACTACGACTACGACTACGACTAATTACCACTACCACTACCACTACTACTACTACTACTACTACGACTACGACTACGACTACGACTACTACTACTATTACTACTACTACTATTACTACTACTACTATTACTACTACTACTACTACTATTACTACTACTACTACTACTTCTATTACTACTACTACTACTACTACTACTGTTACTAATACTACTACTACTATTACTCTTACGACTACGACCACCACGACGACGACGACGATGACTACCACTACTATTACTACTACTACTACTACTACCACCACTACCACTACCACTACTACTACTACTACCACCACTACTTCGACTACTCCTCCTACTGCTACTATTACTGCTACTGCTCCTACTACTACTACTACTTCTTCTTCTGCTACTACTACTACTACTGCTACTACTACTACTGCTGCTATTACATGCTATTACTACTACTACTACTTCTACTACTACTACTACTACTATTACTACTACTACTACTACTACTTCTACTTCTACTACGCGACTACTACTACGACTAGTACGACTACTACTAGTACTACTACTATTACTCTTACTCCTACTCCTATTCTTTTTCGTGCCCTTACTACTATTACTGCTCCTACTACTACTACTTCTTCTTCTTCTACGTTTATTTTTACTTCTATTACTACATACTGCCGCTACTACTACCACCACCACCAAACACCACCACCACCACCACCACCACGACTATTACCACCACCAACATGACTATTACTGGTACCAGTAGTAGTACTATTACTATGACTATTTCTATTTCTATTTCTATTACTATTACTATTACTATTACTATTACTATTACTACGACGACGACGACGACTACTAACTATTACTACTACTGCTGCTATGTTTGTGATCGAGTGTTTCTGAGCCCTCACGCTGTGACTACGAGCATCAAGGATCGGCGGAGGGGCGTGCGGAAGGCGTGCACGGGAGGTGCGAAAGCTGTGGAGGGTGCCCAGACCCCGTATACCCGTCTGGCAATAAGCAATTGTGATGTCCGCATGTTTGATATATCTATTGTGGCAACACCATGATGGCCAGCCCTGCAGCAAGAAGGCTTTGCGCAATAAGGCTTACTTTGTTTTTTGCGGGGCATACAGAGTCGATGCCATCAGGGAGCCGGCGGAGTGTTCCTGGGAAGGCGCTCTTTGACGCACGCTGGTGTACAGAAAGCGTACCCACGGCCCGACGAGCCACTTGGCAACTCCCTCATTTTGGTAGCGTCTTTTGCGCATGCCAACAGGTTTGCTGTGCGCGATCTGTGAACGCAGCCATGAAGACTCACCAGCCACTTCTCCGGCGGTTCCTGCAAGACTAAGCAAACCACCAAGAATTATAAATACACGGTCCGTGCTACGACGTCCTGAGGGGCAACCTGGGGCGGGAGCTCTCCTTGTTGCATGTCTTCGGCAAGCAAAACATGGTGGCATTTTTTCTATACAGGCATGCTCAGGCTTTGCTCTTACTGCTCCGTTCCTGCATGTCTCCGTCTTCCTCGTCAACTGGGGTGGCACCCTCGCATATGAGAAATGGGCACTGGACATAGCAGTAACGGCCACCCATGATTCGCAGGCTTCTCCTCGCTCTCCATCTTTTCATCCTCGAACTCCTTGCATTCATGCTGAAGGGTTTACAGGCTTGCAGGCATGCTCGGGTGCTGCACTTCCTGGTCCTGCAGGTCTTCGTCACCCTCGTCGTCGACACTCGCGTCCTGGCGTACGTTGAGATGAAGTGGGCTTATATTGGACACAGCAGCAACGGCCACCCGTGAACTGCAGGCGTTTCCTGGTGCTCGGTTTGCTCGTTCTCGACCTCCTTGACTTGTATATAGCAGGACGAGCTCGCCACAACAGAAGTTTTGGGCAAGGCAACTCCACGCAAGGGCTGGAGATATGCTGGCTCGGTGAGCGGCTTCCACATCATCGTCAAACTCATCGCTTTGCCAAACCTCAGCCTCTAATCCATATGTGATATGACTCACATGCAAGCGCAGAGACATGGGTGTCGTATCGGACGCCGGAAAGGCTGCAGTGCTGCTGCTTCCTGTTTGAGCCGACTTGGTTCCTTCGGGCGAAGTGCTTCGGGTCGGCTGACATATTCAAGGCTGCAGGCAGTCAAGCCGCACGGCCTCGCGGTTCGAGCCTTGCACGTCGGCTATCCTCTCGGGGGGAAAGGCGCACCGTGCTTCTTGCATCTTGTGCGCAAGAGATGATCGCAGCCCTGGCCTTCTGTCTGCGGTCTTGGTCACGTGCTGACTCTTCGGCAAAAAAAGGTGCCTGCAACACGCCATGCGCTCATAGAAGGCAATGTGCACATGAATGTACCACATTGCGGCCCGGCCGGCCTTAGCCATCCAGGCGTCCGCTGCGTTTTTCAATGTGAGCAGGATACCGGCTGGTATCTGCTGGAAGATGGCATGTAGATTCCAATGTAGATCTGGGAGGGATATGGCAGCTAGCTGCTCGACGGTGAGCCGCTCAGCCTCCAAGGGCGCCGACCAGGACGTCAGCTCGTTGGCTGCAAGGAAAGCACGCAGCCGCGCAGCCGCTTGAGACACTGGTCTGGCGTGCTGCGCATGGGCGCACGCGGACTTTGGTGTCTGGAGGAGTGCGACGCTCCAGGCAGGAGGATGGGGATTGGGTCTTGTTGTGCCAGTGGCGCCTCGGATTTCTTGCCTCTGTCCTACGACTCCTACTGCTACTACTACTACTACCACCACCACAACTACAACTACAACTACAACTACAACTACAACTACAACTACAACTACAACTACAACTACAACAACAACTACAGCTACAACAACAACAACAACAGCAACAACAACAACAACAACAACAACTACTACTACTCCTCCTGCTGCTGCTGCCGCTGCTGCTGCTGCTGCTGCTGCCGCTGCCGCTGCCGCTGCCGCTGCCGCTACCACTACCACTACCACTACCACTACTACTACTACTACTACTACCACTACTACTACCACGACTACTACTACCACGACTACTACTACCACGACTACTACCACGACTACTACCACTGCTACTACTACTACTACTACTACTCCTACTACTACTACTACTACTACTACTACTCGTACTACTGCTACTACTACTACTTCCTTCTTCTTCTTCTACTACTACTACTACTACTACGACTACTACGACTACTACGACGACGACGACTACTACTACTACTACCACTACGACTAGTACTACTACTACTACTCCTGCTGCTGCTGCTGCTGCTACTACTACTACTAGTCACATACTACTACCGTCTACAAAAATTTTGTTGATGCTTATCCATTTTTTTGATGCTTAGCAAGTTTTTTGGATGCCTATGCCGCGATGGGGTTCCCCCCGGGCAGTTGGGTGGCAAGATTTGGCAAGCGCTCTCTCTCTCTCTCTCTCTCTCTCTCTCTCTCTCTCTCTCTCTACAGGGGCAGAGGAAGGCAGCAGCGTCCAGGCCACCCTCCCCGTGCGCGAACGCACCCCCTCAGTTCATTGGCGGAAACTCTCTCTCGCTCTCTCTCCCACTCTCACTCTCTCACAAACGGAACCGATGCAAGTCTGAAGTCTCGGCCAAGAGGCACGCTTCATCAAGTATGTCCTTCACTTCGTCCATTACCTGTTTGAACTAAGCCCAGATTCAGCATGCCGACATGGAATTCGAGTTATTGTGCTGGGTCCTGGGTGAAGGGACACGCCTCCTGGTGACTCGCAGGCTGCTTGTCTCCATATTCCAACTCAACCACGTATCGCAGGACCTTCTTCATTGCCTTCTTGTACCGGTTCCTGGGCTCCGAGGTGTCTGCAAGCCGCCACGCCTTGCCTGTTTCGGAGTGGGCGGTGCAGTTCGTTGCATTAGACCACCTGTCCAGGTCAACTTGTGTCTGCCGAAAGCATTGTCGAAGAGCACCTTTAGGTCGAGCATCTGCATTGCAGCCACAGCAAACATGAAAACGAATTGAGTAAGTAAACGCGAAGACACAATCAAGGTCAACCTTCCAAACTCTCATGAACGGCTCAGTTCTGCACCAGCCAAGTAACTTCATGAAAATGTTGTATGCCCGGTTTCGCAGATTGCGCCGGGCCCGGTCTTCGTAGTAACGCCAGCCTGAGCTCACCACACTCTGATCTGCGCTCCTGGCTGCAAGCACTTGAGTTTCCAAGGTGTTCCCAATGTCACCCCAACTGATCTCCAAGCTGCGGCGAAAGTAGAGGGTATAGCAGCTGTAGAGGCTGCGCCTGAAAATGGCTACACATTTGTGCCTGCAAGCTAGAGAAGAGATTTCTCAACACAAAAGCATTCCTGGCCACTCTTCCGCTTTCCGGGCTTGGCGTGCCTTGGAAAAGTTCTGCTTGCTCCAACTGCACTTGATGTGCGTCTTTGCTGAGAGCGTCGCACAGTGTTGCCCCTGTCAACGACGATGCATGGATGCTGCGGCGCTTGGGTGAGTTCTGTCAACAAGGAAATGCCACACTGAATGCCATCAGTATCCTCTGCTCATCTCGACATCAGCAGTCGCCGGCACCCACCCGCATGCGGGCACACACACACACACAAACAACCAACCAAGCATGCAAGCAAACAACCAACCGAACAACACACAACAACAAAACAAACAACCCACCCACCCGCCCACCCACCTACACCGGTGGTGTGAAAAAACGGGGATCGTGCGTGCTGTTAACAGCTTCAGAATGAGGCCCATTGCCATACTGCGTCGGATTATATTTTATAGTACTGAGTCAATTGTATTTATATATTTTGGTTGGAAAGACGAAAACATCAAAATGCGTCAAAAAAGTATTGAATTGTTTGATGAATCTGAATCAGATCTGCATGCGCCCACACATACGCGCGCGCGCGCCCACACACACACACACAAAACACACACACACACACAAAACACACACACACACACAAAACACACACACACACAAACCACACACACACAAAACACACACACACACACTGACACTGACTGACACACAAAACACACAACACACACACACAAAACAAACACACACAAAACACACACACACACAAACACAAACACACACACACACACACCCCCGCACACCCGCACACCCGCACACACACACACAGAGACAGACAGACCAAACACACACGAAACAGAAATGCACACACCTTCTCGAGCAAAATTGGCACCGCTCCTTCAGCAGCGCGGCCGCGACACCAACAGCTGCAGCAGCAAATGCGATATTGTCCTGCACTCACATGCGCTCGTTGAACACTATTGAACTGTTCACAGCAGTTGCATTGAAGACTGTTCTGTCTATCATGTTCTAGCCTTGGCTGACGTCTGTCTTGGGAGTTCAGCTCGCTCAACTCGGGCTGAAACAGTTGGCAGCGTGTGCAGCGCGGGCGCCGCAGGAAGGAAAGCCGGGGCCAGCCTGCAGTTTTCCGTTTCGACCTGAGCCTGGGACCTCTTTTGGAGCGACTTTCCTGCTCTGTCACACCCAAAGTCTTGGCCAAGTCACCGCAGCGCGACAAGCCCCAGAAGGAGAGCCAGCAGCCGCATGGCAATGGAGACTTCTACGAAGTTCTAAGCAGCTGGATTTGGGAAACCGTGCACCATTCCACTAACCTTGTCGCTTCTGGGATGATCTGGCGTGCATCGTTGCAATGAGCAGAAAGAAACCCCCCCATGCGGCTCTGAGCCCATCGAGTTCTTCGAAGTCCCAGCGGACGATCAGGATGCATTCTGCCCCATGACCCAACCATGACGAAACATGGCATCACCGAAAACAGTCGCTGAAACTGCAACTTGGTAGCTGGAACAGAGTTCCTGAATTGTGATAAGGAACAAGTAAAGAAACTGTCACTACTCATTGTCGACACTCTTCTCGATTGTTCTCTGCAACCTGCCTCTGTTAGTCCTAATTCCGCGCTTCCGAGCTGCTCCTGGGTGCAGCCTGAGGTCTCCCTGCCTCGAAACCCGGAACAGGGTGCGGCATGCCCAAGTCCCTGCCTGCGGGTGCAATCTCTTCGTTTGAAAATCTTACCACGCCAATGCCCCAGCATCTTCTTCAGGTTGCAGCAGCTGCAGTGTGTGCGGTACCAACACATCCCTTTGTATCTGAGAGGCACTTCATTCTCAATGCTAAGCTCATCCTTTAAACTCGCTCTTCTTCAGCAAAGGCTCTAATTCTCTGCAGCGGCTGCTGCATCTGCGCCCTCGGGACCTGACAGTGAGGAAGCCGCAGTTCGGACACTGGCGGGTCCTTTGAACGGAAAAAACATCTCAAGATGTTCAAAGTTCAAACTGCCGAGCTGCCACTGACTCGGCTGCTTTAACCCAAACCGTTTGGAAAGTATATACATGACCTAGGACCTAAGGACCTAAGTTGTGAACTATTGCAACGCAACTACCAGCAGCACCGTGTAGAAACGTTTGCAATGTGTTGGCTAGCACTGGTGCCCGAATGACTCGAGCGATTTTCGCCGAAGGCCATAACGGAGAACCTAGTTACCTGAGCTGCAGAAGCCCAAGGAGCCAGGTCAGTACATGGGGCCCGGCAAGACCGCCAAATCACAAGAGACTATCCAATAATATCAATATTTTACTAGCTGCCAGCTTCATTTTTTGGGAGTCATCTTCGAACAGAACGATGCAAAACATTGGACAAGACTGCCAGGCATCTCGTGCTATCCAACCCAAATCATGGACTCCCTACGCATGTAGTGTTCCGTTTGGTTGCTTTGGCATAGTCGGCCAAGAAACGTCACATCCTAAGACCCTCAAACGTTCTGCGACAGAGCGGCCTGGGCCGAAGCAGGCTTCGGCAGATTGTGCAATGCCCTGGCGGTGAAGAAGGGTTTCGGGTTTGGCCGTCGTTGTCACCCCAGAATAAGCGTCACACTGCTCGTGACTCGCACTTGCGCAAACTCTTGAGTTACGACAGTTACGACTGCAACAACCACTGGAGACACTACTACAGTAGTAGTAGGCACACGACACACGAGGCATCGATATAGCTCCAGAATGTAGATACGATTGTGCTGAGCATTAGCTCCAGGACATTCTCATTCTTGGACAGTCTTAGTTGCAGCAATTCGGGGTAACACAAGTGCTGCTGTTTCTGTCCGATAATCAATGATCCGTAGAGCAGTTCCACGCTGTCCGATTTCCAGACTCGATGTGGTGACTGGTGAGCTTCTTCATCACTCCCAACAAGGACCGTCTTATTACCACATTCTTCGTCAAAAGGTGCCTGCTGAGGAAGCTAGTCGATGCAGGAGTGCATGCAAAGGTCGGCTTCGAAGACATGCCAAACACTGGGAGCTGGACGGACTGGCCACGCCGCAGGCAGAACCTGACACTTGTTCTACATGCATTGCGTGAATTTTTCATCAGCTTGATTACTGTCACCGTTGCATTCACTCCCAGCATGTAAAGAGTTTTGCGCCTCCGTCTGCATGAGGCTTCGCAGGCTAAAGTGCCAGAAATTTGGACACACAGTGTCTTGGACACGCAGGCAGCGTATTTCAGCCGGCATGCCTGCATCCTACTCACGGCAAGCACATACATGTGCCAAGTCATCTGTTGTAGTTGTACTTCGTCATGGCCAAACGTGCCAAACGCAAAGCTTCCTGGCAGAAACTTGCAAACACGCTGCGTGAGATCGGTGAAAGCTCAGGGGCATGCAAGCATGCATGACATCGTGCTTTCGTATGCCTTGTCGGCATGGTAGTCATACGTCTTTCGAAGGGCCACTTCTGGAGGAGTGTCTTTGGGACCCTCCACTTGGTCCTGCAGCATTGTCGAGTAAGCACATACAACCTAACCAGCCACTCCCACGTTCATGTGCGGAGCCAATCCACATTCAGGAACTCAAGCACCCGCAGTCTGCGGGTTCGGCGCGAGTGTGGGCAAGGCGGCTGTTTGGGATCGACCGCTTTGGCGGGCAGTTGCTGGTTGGCTGGAAAACCAGAGCTGCTGTTGTGTTCGTTGCTGATTGAGGTTCATGGACATCTAGATCAGGCACTTGGGCTGCTTCTCCCAGACCTTTACCTTTGAGACAGTTACATCGTGACAATGTTCCATCTCGTACAATACTTCGCCCAATCACCACTCTGCATCCGCATCATTCCTCGTGCAACTGCACCTGATCGTCTGTGCCACCGGCGCAGCCATCATTACTGTCATCCTCGCCGTGCCCATCATCAGCAAAAACGTCATCATCAACCTCTCCTTCTCTGGTACTCAAAACCTGTTCGATTTCATCATCACCTCCAGCAACACAATGACGATCATGATTCTGGCATCTACCAGCTCCTACAAACGGCGGCACCATTTCCATGCAGCTCTGCGCATTCTTTGTCCTCGTCCCGCTTTTGCATGTGCTTTGGCAAATCCGGCCAAGGGATGATGTGGCCAGTCAAATGGGAGATTCGGATGGCATCACCATCTTCTGTGAAGGTCAACCCGACCTGGATCTGCCAAAAACATTTCCAAGACTTTCTAGAAACTCTGGTGGACAGTGCCGTTGAGAAGTCACCATGACTTCCCGGTTCAAAGCTCCAACATATCTCGACTGCCACCTAGCTGCTCTTGTAGGCCTGCCCGCTGCAGGATCGATCAAAGCGCAGTTGGAGTAGTGAATCTTTTTCTCGATGAACTTGGGGCTCCTTAACAAATGCCCCATCCTACACGTACCGTCACCTGTGCAGCGAAGACACCCCTCGTCGTCGAGCACCTGCTCGATTCAAGGCTCGCGCCGGAAAGCAATCAGCGAACAATTCCGAGACACTTCGTCTCCCATGGCGCCTTGCGAAGATTGAGGCCCTTGACCTTAACCATGTTCCGGCGGTGGTCGACCATCAAGACTTCTCCGGTGGATTTCTTGTCTTTTCCTCCAGTGGTCCGCCAACTCGGCACTCTCCAAGCACGAACTTTTAAGCTTCCGCAACACGCAGTCAAACATACCGTGCAGCAACCGGTAGCAGCCCCGTTCTCGGAAGACGGTCTAAAGGCTAGAAAACCGGTATTGGGAGCATGTAAGCAACACGTCTGGCTGTCTCTAGCCCTCTGTTCAATAATCGAAGTCGCCGGAATTGACAAAAACGATGTCACCCGGTCGAATTTTCCATGTTCGGATCAGTGACCTGAGCAGCAATTAACGCGGTGCTTTGTCGTGAGCGCCACCATGCGGGAATTCCGGCCTCTTTTTTGCCAGCTTCGGCCCACGCTCGTCGAATCTTAAAGCATCTATCCTTCAAGCACACTTGCAAGTCTACCGTCCGTTTTTGCATGCCAACGGCCTCGGGAGCGCAGGCAGCAAGCCCAAGCCTTGGCTTTCAGAAATCCAAAGATGCCCGCAAGGAAGAAACAAACACACCCCAACTGAACTAGGCCCAGTTGCCAGGGCCGTTTCGCCCAGCCAGCAAACCCCGAAGTGCAAGCATTGCTTTGAGCCTATGTGACCTTACTGGATGGCGCGTATGGCTCCGTGAGGAAGAGGTTGAGATTTTTCCCCCATTGCATGGCAGGGATGTATGCCTACAGCGAGGTTGAAATTGATGTGGGGGAGTGTTTGGGGATTCGGGTGTCGAGGTGCCGTGCGCTGATGACTGGCCACCATGTTGCTCCAGAGCCACACTCCCAGCGGTTCTCATAGAAACTCGTGATTGCAGTCAGCATGTCGCTTTTGCCTGGACCCTGTCAACGGATAAGACGGGCTACGTCCGAACAAGTTTTTGCATGTGCAATTCTGCACCTGGTACAGCGCAACTTCCTGGGCTCTGCGTCAGCCTGCAGCGACCAAGAATCCAGCGAGCCATGCCAGGGTCATGCATGCCGCATGAACTCACTGCAGCCAGCATTTTATTATAGTCATTCTTGTGGGAGGTTGACTGCCCTACACTGTGGGCACGTGTCTCATCTTCATATCCGCCGAGTGTCAGTGTCTCTGGAACCTGTCAACGCGAACGGGCTTGTACCAGCTACTCACACCCAAGGACCCACCTGACTGTCGAGCCCAACCTTCACCAAGGATGCCCATGGTTTTGAGGGCCAGGTAGTATGGGAGCGAGGCGGATTTCTTCATGCAGCGGATATCAGCAATTGAGTCATTCCGTGGCGTGGCAGTGCGCGTCCGACCTTGTCTCAGATTGCGCTGTTAATGTGCAGCCTTCAACATCTCTGCAACCATGCCAGGCCGAATGCACCCTGTCGTATGTTCTGCAGCCGTCATGCCGATATTTCAATTTTTGCAGCTGTCTGTGCGCGCGTCAGGATACATCAGGATGTGTTGCGGGAAAACGGTGTACAACTGTCACTGAGGGAGCCCCGCCCTGTCGTTCGACCAGGGTAGCCGGCGAGACTGGGTGGTTGACCGAGTCCTGTCACGATATTTCACGACCATCAGGTGGCAAGCCCCATCCACTTCTTTTGCGTTACGGCTGTCAACAGCACTTAGACCTGCAATGTCACCGAGGGGGCTTCCCACGCCTGCGACGCCAGCCATGCCCGCAGGTCGGTCCTGAGAACTCAATCATCTGACACCCATTGGCAATCCCCGCTAGTCACTCGAAATTCTCGAAGAGATGGTCTCTTGGAAAGAAGGCAAGCACCTGCCCTCCTGCGCTCAGGAAAACAGAGGAACGTCTCTCTCTCTCTCTGTTTCTCTCTCCAGCAGGTGGGGAGCACAGGGTGGTCCTACCCTGCACTCCGCGCGCGAGCGCGCACCCACAGTCCTCGGGCGTCTTTGCTCCCCCTATGGGTTGTTTCCATAGGGGGCTCGGCTATACAATTAAATAGTATAAAGTATAAAAACCCCCCCCACGGACAGTTTCCGCAGGCAGGGGACACAACAACTGAAGGCAACTAACAGAACGCGTAAGGCTGCGGCCAGATTTGAAAGCAGGTTGTGCGTCTCCGTACCAAAGACGGGCTCGAAAAGAAAAGGGGTTGAAGGAACAACATACGTTAGCTCCCCCCGGGCTCGTCAAGGCTTTTCGATGTCGACTTAATTAGGGCCCTCAAGTCCCCCGAATTCTTACCACTGGTCGCCTCAGAAAGCTATGTATTGAAAAGAAGCCGGGATTATAGACCAGTATGGGCCTGGTGGAGTGAGTTTACCTGAGAAGGACTAAGAGGATTGATTTGCCCCCGTCCTGTTTAAAGAATTTTAAACATTGAGGATCCTACGACAACGGTGAAAGTACAAACCGTGCAGAACGAAGGATGGGTGGATCCCCGGTTTTGTTGGGAAACTATGGCAATGTCTTTGGGTATCAGCGAAAATTTTGTGGGACTTCTCACAGGCAAGCAGTACAATAGTAAACTAGTAGCTTTCCCACATGCTCCTCCACATCGTGTTGGCATGTGTTGGCGCCCCGCATATGCCGTTGTACCTGCTGTACTGCTGTGCCACATAGGTCCGGGGTGAAAGCGTACTTTCCCCCTTCGGGGGCTGCGGCTCGGTGAGCGAGGTCTCTGTGCGCCCTCAGAATTTGGACTTGTACGGTCTGACGGACGTCCTCGTTCCCCTCATGGCCAGTTGGTCTTATGTCGAGGTATATCAGGTGACGAGATCACCGAATCGTCATCGATGCCGACGTGGCCTCCCCCCACGTCTTTGGATGAAGTTGGCAAAGCTTGTGGCTCGGTGTCCATGTCGCTGTCTCCCCAGTCCACGTCTTCTTGGTCTGGGTTCCTCGCCGCTGTCTCGTCTTGTTGTGTGTTGTTGTCTTCGGATAGGTCCGCCAGTTCCATGGTGTCGTGCTTCTCGGTCTTCTTGGTCGTCTCCTGTTTCTTTTTCTTCTTCTCCTTCTTCTTGTCCTTGGCCACCTTCTTCGGGTCGTGGCGCAGCTTGGCAGTCGGGCGGATCCCCCCCATGCCGCTGCTTCCTTTCTTGTGCACCTTCTTGCCTTCCGCGAGGAGTCTACGCACCTCCCCAGGGAATTTGCCGATGTAGATCCGAAGTTCCCCCTCGGTACGCGGGTTGATCTTTGCCGCGAGCTTAACGAGCTCATCGGCTTGTCCCCCCGTGTGTCGCCTCTCCTTGTGCCCCTGCAAGTACCGTTGGAAGACTTCGCTCTCCACAGCTGTGAGCGCGTCTCCCGTCGTCGGGTCCACATGTTGTTGCTTCTTGCTTTCCCACTTGTACTCTTTGGCAATCCACTTGTCCAAAGGATGTGGCTCATACAGGAGCGCTAATCCCCCCTTTGTCTCAAAGCGTACGTAGTCTGCAAGAGGTCGGCACTTGTTTGTCGTCTTGTTCTCCTCCCCCACTGGCTCGGACACCGTTGCACGGGATGCGGTGGCCTCCCCCTTTTTTCGCATGTCCTTGACACTTGCTGGGCTACTGCCGGTGCCCACAGCAATCATGTACTTGTAGCAGGTCCCCCTCCGTCGTGGGGCTTATGGTACGAAGGGCCTTGTAAGCAAGCCCTGCAGCTCACCCCAATCTCTCGGACGCTCAACTAGCTTGGTCTGTTCCTCCCAGGTTGTTTTCACCTTCGGAGGTTTTGCATCGGGAGACGGTTGCCCTCTCCCGCCACGCCTCGTCCGAGGCTGCTCGAACTCGCCATTAACGTCCCCCTGGTGGTTCTGGAGGATCACTTGCGGTGCCACAATCAAGTTGTATGGTCCGCCCCCCTACTCGACCGAAGAAGGGCCTCATTCAGGTTCGGGAGAGGCTCGAAAGGGACTGGGGCCTCTGAAGCACGGCGGCAGCGGATATGATGTTCAAGCACCGCTAGGCAATGCGAAAAAGCTCCCATGGATTGTACAACTCCAGGTCAAGTCTTCGCCTTCCCCCCCGCACAAGAGGGCGGAACAGGCCCCCAAGTACAGGTGTAGTGCTTGAGCCACAATGGCTACTCTCTCTCTCTCTCTCTCTCTCTCTCTCTCTCTCTCTCCCTCCCTCCCTCTTTCTTTCTTTCTGAAGGTGAAGAGGAGGGGTGCGCACTTCGTATTGGAGTGGAGCGAACTGGAAAAATGCGAGAGCGTAGTCATACCGACCCTGCCACACGGAGAGTGCTGGACACAACCAAGGAAACAATGCACCATGTTACACAGCATTCTCCCCTCGCAGATTTCAGATACCTGTGCTACCATGGTTGTGCTCGCTGCAAGTCAAATACCAGTCACGGGATGAACACATCTCAACACTACAACTCTTCCTTCACTGGAAGTTCTGAAAGCAGACTACACACTCTCCTAAACATCAACTCTTCATCACAGCTGCCTCAATCTTTGCCCGCTCTATCGGTCTGCCCCTCAGAGCTCCACGATCACCATATCGAGACAAGCTGTTTCAGCCGCACCCCCGAGCAACCAACGAAGTAACCTCCACCATCTCCACACAAGCACGGCCGCGAGGAACTGTCGCAGCTGTTCGCGGCCTTCCCCCAAGAAGTGGGCAACTGCCCCCAGGTTCCGCGTCAGCAAGTCCAGGTGCTCATCTGTTCCCCCGCTGGGCTGCGCGGGCGCTTCCTCCGCTCCTTCCTCGAGCGCCGCAACATCGGCCGGGTGGACATAGTCAAGAAGGCCTTCTTCCTTCAGGAGTTCCTCTGCTTCCTGGAGGACCAAGCCTATCACTCCCCCCAGCTGGGTGCCACCCAGTCCAAGTCCCCCTGTATGGTGGACTCCAGGGCTGTACGTACTGCATGAGCGGGCCTGCTCCAGTCCATGTGCTCCTTGCTTGGCGGTCAGCTTGTAGAAGGTGTAGACCCCCCGGCCCAGGTCACGCAGAGCTTCTGCCAGATCTTCGCGTATCTGGTGTTGGTTCAGCCCATCCATGCCGTCGTCGTTCGCCAAATCTTGCAAACGCATCCGGGCAATGGCTATCATGTTCAAGATGCGCCTTTTCTTGC